TTTCCTTGATCATTCGTTAAATCTTATTGACTTTTAGATTACATGGTTTTTTGATTTTGTATTACAGATATTGTTATTATTAATTATTATTATTAATTATTATTTGCTTGTAAAGCGCTTTTGGACATTTTAGGAAAGGGCGCTATATAAATGAATTATTATTATTATTATTAATTTTTGACGTGCCGCCAATCGTTGCATTTCATTATGTATTGACCCAAATTGTTTGAAGGCAATAGAGTGCAACTTTGATATATCACACACCGCATTGGAATTGGCGTCTATACTATACGTCATTCGTATCTCATTTTTCAACGACTGTTGAGCTGAGCGATAGCATGGCCGAGTCAAACGAATCAGACGAAGAAAATGTTCATAACACAAAATAGTTTTTTGTGATCTTTAAAGCCAAAGTTTAAGTTTCGTATTGACTGAAACTGGTTACCATGGTCGTAAAAAAACGATACGTGAGATGACATGATAATTAAAACAGGAACTCAGTGCAATTAATTATATCTTTTGTCATAAACAGGGTCTACAAATACGATTTTTTTTGTCATAAACAGGGTACCCCTTTCAGAATCCCAGCGGAACACCCCTACCCAAATTCTGGAGGAGTCCCCCCCCTCTAGGGTCATGTCCTCCAAATTGAGCTGCATTCCGACGTGTTGCAAGAGGTCTATTGATTTTTTCTATAAGATTACACAGTTATACACAACTTTTGTAATGTACGATTTTTGACGAATGACGAGAAGCAATCGTATTCAATAAATCATGTATCGCAGCATGGAGTATGCAAACAGTCTAAGGATATATCTAGAAGTCATGTGACATGTGCAGTTATATTTTTTGAAAACGATTAAGATTTTATGAATATTGTTATAATTAAGAGATTTGAGCGAAGCAATATTATACACGGTTTCCTAGCATCATTGCCTGAAAATAAAAAATATAATAAAACTATGAGAATTTTTCAATGAGATTTTATTTTTCAAAGTTACTGTGGGGTCACACTAACCGGGACCACTTGCACAAAAATTAAGAGTGTCAATAGTCCCCTTCACAGTTCCCGGCGACATCTGGAAAGGTAGCTTTGCCTTTGCATCGAAGCGAGACGAACGGTGAGCTTGCATTGACAGAGACATGTGAATAACTGTCCAAGGTTTTAAGAAAGGTCTCTATCATTGCAAGCTCACCGTTCGTCTCGCTTCGATGCAGAGACACGCTACCTTTCAAGATGGTGCAAAACTAAGGTGTCAATTTTCCTCTTGAAATTATGGTTTTCCAGACCACCAAATGAAAAGTACTGTATTGTATTTGCTATCGTGTTGGTTGAAAGAACAAAACGTATTCAATCTTACCTTGCTGATGTCAAACCCAGTAAGACTTTCTACCGCCTTAGGTAACYTAGCTATTCAAGATTTCACCAGTCAGTTTGCTAGCACCAAATTCTCCCTTCCCATTGGAAACCATGGTGATCTTGTTACAATGTGAGATGGGAGCAGCAATCTCAGCAGCAATCTACGACAGAGCAAAAGACAATGATAAATAAATAACAACAACAACAACATCACCACAACCACCACCACCACCACCAACAACAACAACAACAACAACAACAACAA